ATGATTTCTTGTGCTCAATCAAAGAATGGAAGGCATACTAGCAAAATAGCTAAGAATTTGGTCAAATTGAGTAATGGAATAAACAAAATAGGACTCAAAGTGGGCAAAATCACTAATGTGTAAATTGTGCCAAGACCACTAACTTTGCAACTGTGTAATTCCATCAGTTTTCCCTCAAATTTTGTACTCTTGGTGCCATTACCTTCAGATAGAGATTCTCTACCATTTCAATTTTTTTTTTTTAAAGTGGATATGCAGAAATTTATATTTCGAGAGGCTGGACAGTGAAAAGGTTGAAAGTGCCAACGACTTCCTTGAAGATTATAAAACCGAAGTCAAAAGTTGAAGGATCAACGTCTGGGGGCTACACTGCAAACAGGTGCTCATGAGTGAGGCAAATGTGCCCTACCTTCAAGTCGGCACAGAATCATCTCAGTGATGATCCTTAATGAAAGATTTTGGATCACTCACCTAATTCAATGAACTCTCTAAAATCTGGATCGGCTCTAAGTGTTGGGTGTGCACTTGTGCGGTTCATGTAACGCTCCAGAGATGCCCGCCGCTTCTCAATGAAGTCCGCTGAGGCAGAGTCAGTTGTTTTATCACTGCTAAGCTGCAGGAAAAAAATATTAATTAAAAAACTATAACCTTCACCAGTATTTTTAAAGCAAAGACTGATTTAACAATGAGGTGAATAAAACTAGGCAGCGTATGTGTGTGTGTGTGTGTGTGTGTGTGTGTGTGTGTGTGTGTGTGTGTGTGTGTGTATGTGTGTGTGTGTGTGTGTGTGTGTGTGTGTGTGTGTGTGTGTGTGTGTGTGTGTGTGTGTGTGTGTGTGTATATGTTTGTTTTCTCTCTTGGCAGCCAGAGGATGTAGCTTCCACTATTATTTACACCAAATGATGCAAATGGATTTCCTGCTTCATATAGTTAATAACAGGCTGATTTTGTTAAAGATTTCCATGGTATCTGTATACTGTCACTCCAATCTGAGAGTTTTAATTTTTTTTTTCCCAAATAATTTTTTTTATATTTTTTTTTTTTTTTTTTTTTAACTTAACAGCCCTCTCCTACCACAGCAGAAGACACAAGAAAACATTCACCAACATTCAATCACTCTCACTTTATAGAAGTGTGCCGACATCACAATAAGACTATCCTCCAACTGCAACATCCCCACCCCTCTTCCAGTGTGCTCTGGAGTTCAGCACTGTCCTTCCCTCCTCCAGGACTCGAGTCCATCTAACCTATTTCCCTGAATCCCTTCATAAAAGTTACCCTGCTCATACCTCGAAAGCACCTATTAAAAATAAACATGAAAATAATACAAACCCTATACCTCCCTTAACGAATTGGCAACATGGTTACTGCTGTGATAAAAAACGTCATTAAATATGAATAACTTTGTTGCATTTGAGGAGTCAATTTTTCCTGCTCTCACAGCTCAGCCCTAGGCCAGGCATATCTGGCATCTGCATGCCAAACCAGGCTGTATTACTGGTGGCCAAAAGGCCCACATATCTATCACAACCTGGTTGATTTGGCAGATGGTGGAAGAAATTGCCTACTTTCCACATTAAGACTACTACACTTGTTCCTGCAGTGTTGATGATGTCTTCTAGCAAGATGTTTGAAAAGTCTGGTGGTACTTATGTTGATACAATGTTCTCTTATTTTGCCAAAGACATCCCTGCCTTTTAATGGGTTTATTCTACACATTCTCTCATATCTCCCACCCCAGTATGTTATGGCAGTGTGCAGATTTGGGATGAGGTAACGAAGTATTTTCCATGTATATGTCATTTATCTCTCTCTCTCTCTCTCTCTCTTTCACTCCAGAGAGTATATATTTAGGAGTATGAGGAGTTCCCAGTAATTTAATTGCATTACTGGCTTTATGTGAGCCATAAACAATCCTGCCATTCCTGTAAATGTTCAAAGCCTTTCTCCGTATTGGTGACAATCTGGTTAAACAAATCCAAATACTGGCACCTCAAATTAAAGATATCTGCATCTGCTTACATGTTCAAGCCAAGACCAATAATTTAACTGGATATTGTCAGGGAGGATGCATTTTAAGTAGTCCCTTTGTTTATTCAACCGAGATGCTCAACTCAGGTTGATTATTGTCCAGACATCTTGCTCATATTTACTATACAGAGGTATTTGACCCATAAATTACTGATCTGAAAAATAAAAATTACTAATAAAGCAAACAAAAGTGAGTGAATTTTGACATTGGGCTTCTGGGAGATACTATGTCACAGTTGATACACATCAGCAAACATCTGCTACTCAAGATTTAATCAAGTCTAGAAATTAATTTCAGAGTCCAGAATATACAGTTTTCTCAAAGCCCTGTTGAAGACAAAGTCAAGACATTATTGCATTAGGCTAAATGCTCCCTTAAACATAATTACTGCTTATGTAAGCAAAATTGGTATTGCCTGTATACAGGTGGCCCTCCACATTCACGAGTTCCACTTTCGCGAGCTTTGAAAATTTGCGAATGTCCAGCTGCCCAATCATAACATGTATATACAATATTTTACAATGTTTTCATATGTTCTATGATTGTTTGTGATTCAAGAGGTTAAGGAAGCAGTATTGTTAGGTTAGGTAAATGCTATTGCTCAAGATTCATTAGGTTCTTGATCCCCTAACCCTCACGAATATGGAGGGCCGCCTGTATACAGTACTATGCAATAAGATCACAGTACACAGGTGATATCACAATATGCAAAATAACCACTGAAAAAATAGTGAATTTCCCAGCACTTTCATGATTTCTCACATTATCAAGGAACTGTAAAAAAATAATATGGCATCTGCTGTTCTGTTACTTTTTTTTACAATTCCTTGATAGTATGAGAAATCATGAAAGCACTTGGAAATTTATTATTTTCTTACAGTGGTTATTTTGCATACAGTATGATATAAAAAGTTCAAAATTTTAGCTACGAAATCTAAACAAGGAGTTACCTTGATCTTCGTTGTACCAATGGCAGACTTCTCTGGAGCTGGGGGAATAATGCGGCCAGAATGTAGATGTTTTTCCACCAGCTTTCTGTGCAACCCCAGGAAGTCACTGAACCGACGCATCACGCTCCAGTTCTTTTTTCTGTTAAAAAAAATTTATGGAGTAATGATTAATATTAAATCACATTCCAATTGCCTATTACAAGCAATGCCTAGCTAAATAAGTGATGCACACACTTATATCGGTCAGCCAGACGAGTACTGGAGGTGGAAAGTACAAAGCCTGGACTTTAAAGGAGGGGGTTTGGGATATTTGCTGTATAGATTAACATTTAAACTGTCGTATCTGTGCACCTCTGGCAAGATACTGATAGTGTGAATGATGGTGAAAGTGTTTCTTTTTTAGGTTGCCCTGCCTCAGTGGGAAATTACCAGTTTGTAAAAACATACACTTTTGTAAAATTTAATTAGAGCTATCTATTGTTTGCATAATAAAAATTTCAACATTTTGGCTGTCTCCTACCAAGGCAAGGTGACCTGAAAAAGAAGAAACGTAAAGCTTCCTTTTTAAATTTAATAATTTATACAGAAGGGGGTTATTAGCCCCTTGCTCCCAGCAATTTTAGTAGCCTCTTATAACATGCACAGCTTATGGAAGAAGGATTCTTTCTGCTTCACCATGGAGATTCTAATAGTTACTTGATAAAAAAAAAAGTATGCAAGCATGTGAATGCATGAACAGCATTTAACCCTTAAACTGTCCAAACATAGATTACGCTTTTTCAACAGTTGAAAGTATGTAAAAAAGCAGTTTTTTTTTTTACATTTGAAAACGCGTAAAAAAACTTTGATCTACTTTTTTTTTTTTTGTTATATTTGAAAATAGGTAAAAAAAACGTAGATCTACTTTTGGAGCACTATGCATGTGAACATAAATTTGTTTGGATAGTTTAACCTTTTCAGGGTTTCGGACGTACTAGTACGGCTTACACACCAGGGTTTCGGACGTACTAGTACGGCTTACACACCAGGGTTTTTGACGTACTAGTACGCCTAAATTCTAGCGTCCTCAAATCTAGTGAGAGAAAGCTGGTAGGCCTACATATGAAAGAATGGGTCTATGTGGTCAGTGTTCGCAGTATAAAAAAATCCTGCAGCACACAGTGCGTAATGAGAAAAAAAAAAAAACTTTGACCATGTTTTGGATTAAAACAGCGACTTTGCACTGTATTTTCGTATGGTATTTATTGTTGTATTCTAGTTTTCCTGGTCTCATTGTAAAGAATGGAAGACATATTACAGAAACTGAGATGATTTTGACTGGTTTTACAATGAAAAGTACCTTGAAATTGAGCTCAAAGTAGCAGAAATGTTCGATTTTTACCAAAGTTCAAAAGTAAACAAATCATGCTATGCGTCCAATACACGTCAACTGGTGAGTCTAATATTCTTTCACAAGTGCGCTGATATTATTTATACCATTTCTACACTAATGCAGTAGTCTGCATAACAGTAAATCTTCTATTTTTTGAGAATAAAAATTCAAAGTGGAAAGCAAAAGAAATGTAAGAGGGGCGTGGGAACATGACTAATGAACAGAGGAAATGATATTTTAGTGCCAGGAATGTCTTTCTTGTTTATTCTGGACCCTATTCGGAAACTGGCATCTTTTGAAATTTGTGTGAAATTAGCAAAATTGCTAAATTCCGACCACTGTATTGAATAGTTGAAATCGGTAAATGGGTGGTTTCTTGTACTCATTCGATAGAAAAAATGGAGTTCTAGCGAAATAGTTATGATTTTTGTCGACTAGTACACTGGAATTGGCCGGAAAATAGGGCTCAAAGTGGGCAAAATCGCCGATGCGTAAACATCGTCGAGACCGCTAACTTCATGAGAGCATAACTCCGTATGTTTTCCATCAAATTTCATACTTTATGTGTCATTATTATCGGGAAAAGATTCTCTATCTGTTCATAAGAAAATTTTTTTTTTTTTTTTTTTTTTTAAATTTTGGCGACCCTGAGAACAAGTCTCGGAGAAGGCCTGGGGACCCTGAAAGTGTTAAGGGTTAAGAAAACCTCTCTGAACTGTCTTTAAAAAAGCTGAAGATTAAATTTGATTTTTTTCTAAAATTTAGCAGAAACGTTTAGCCTGAGGGTTCAAAGCCTTTTTACTTACTTTCACACACACATTAACAAATTATAATTTTATATGTAAAAAAACAGTTGGTTTGCAAAATTTGACCTCAAGGATAACTGTTCCCCCTTTAAAGGGTTTCCAACCGAAATTATAATTCACGTGCGTAGCCCCAAAAAGTTATATACGTTTTTTTGTCTTTTCAAATTCCCACGAAAGCCTGAGTCCCCTAGAATGAGGAAAGGGTGTAGCACTCCTGTGCCCCATATTAAATAATTGGGGAATGGGTACCATATGCACTTTTTCCCATTAAAAAAAAAAAAAAAATTTTTTTTCTTAAAAAAATTTTGGGGCGTACGCGGGGGAACGAAATTATTTTTTTGGCCTTTTAAAAGGGTTAATTATAACTCAAAAACAATGCTAGAATTTTACAAGTAAAAAAAAAAAAAATTAAAAAGGACTCCCCATACACACATGGATGTGTGTGTTACTCGTTTTAAGTACATGTGCTTTTGGAAGTCCAAAAGAAAGTTGCAGAAGGGGGGTGGAAAAATTTTGGGGAGGGTGTGTAAAAAAAAAAAAATTAAAAGTGAACAGAGGAAAGAGCAAGGTGATGAGGAAAACAAAATTTAGGAAATGAAAAAGGATATCAACTGGAGGGAGGGAGTATGGGGGAAAATGAATGTATTATATTTTTGGGGTGGACTTGAGCGATGGGCTATGAAAGATGGGGTTTAAACCAAAGAACTGAGAGGGGAAAAAAGGCGAGGGGTGCCGAGGTCTGTGGAGACGAAGAACGTCATCCACAGAAAAAAAAGAGGGAAAGTTGAGGTACAGGCGGGTCCTGCTTATGGCGGTCACTTTACAGCTTTTTGCAAACAAGGGCATTTAAAATTATGACCAAATCATTAATATGGTACATCGTGCCACAGTTTGTTTACATACCCCCGAGTCCGGTCTCTCCATTATGTCGGGAAATTTCCCAAAAAAATTTCAAGGTTTTAAAGTTACTGCATTTTTATATATACTATGCAATTATATTTGTGTCCCTGTATTTAAAAAAAACTTCAACGTGCTGGAGTACAGGTACACATTAAAATCAAAGGTGTCTCACTGATCTTGAAAATGAGATGAAAATATTTAAAAATTTTTGGGAGTAGGTTTGGTAGCGAAACCGCCCGGGGAGGTATACCGTCCTCCCAAAGTGAGTGTAAAACAAAAAACCTGTAATTTTTTTTCATGATGGTGGATTGTGGGTCTTTTTTTGTCTAAAAACAGCAAGGGGCCCGGTAATCTTGCTACTTCTGCTTACACTACCATAAGAAAAGCATAATTTACATACATACCCTTGGGTTTTCTTCTATTTTTTTTTTAGTTCTTGTTTTTTTTCCTGTTATTCCTGGGGGGTGGAAAAGAATTCTTCCTTTAAACGTGGTGTGTAAGAGGCGACTAAAAAGCCGGGGAGCAGGGGCTAGTAAACCATTCGTAATTTTTACTAAATGTAAAAGGAGAAACTTTTGTTTTTTTCCCTTTGGGGCCCCCCGCTCGGTGGGGATAGGCGGTGTGTTGGGGGGGGGGGAGAGAGGAGGAAGGGGAGGGGGAGGAAAAAGGAAAGGGGGAGGAGGAGGGGAAGGAGGGAGGAGGAAGGAGGGGGGGGAGGGGAAGGAGGGGGGGGAGGGAGGAGGAAGGAGGGAGGAGGAAGGGGGAGGGGAAGGAGGAAAGGGGGGAGGGGGAAGGGGGGGGAGGAAGGAGGGAGGAGGAAAGGAGGGAGGGGAAGGAGGGGAGGAAGGGGGAAGGGGGAAAGGGGAAGGGGGGGAGAAGGAGGGGGGGAGGAAGGAGGGGGGGAGGGAAAGGGGGAAAGGGGGGGAGGAGGGGGGAGGAAGGAGGGAGGGGAAAGGGGGGAGGGGGAAGGGGGGGGAGGGGGGGAGGAAGGGGGAGGGGAAGGAGGGGGGAGGAAGGAGGAGGGGGGAGGAAGGGGGAGGGAAGGGGGAGGAGGAAGGAGGGAGGAGGGGGGAGGAAAAGGGGGGAGGAGGAAGGGGGAGGAGGAAGGAGGGGGAGGGGGGAGGAAAGGGGGGAGGGGGAAGGAGGGAGGGGGAAGGGGGGGGGAGGAGGAGGAAGGAGGGAGGAGGAAGGAGGAAGGAGGGGGAGGGAGGAAGGGGAGGAGGAAGGAGGGAGGAGGAAGGAGGGAGGGAGGAAGGAGGGAGGAGGAAGGAGGGAGGGGGAAAGGAGGGAGGAGGAAGGGGGGAGGAGGGAGGGGGGAGGAGGGGGGGGAAGGGGGAGGAGGAAGGAGGGAGGGGGAAAGGGGAGGGGAGAGGGAAGAGGGAAAGAGGAAGGGGAAAGAAGAGTGTAGTAGTAGTAGTAGTATTTATAATAATATAATTATAAATTTTATATATTTATAATAATTATAATATTTTAATTTTATAATTATAATTTTTATATTATAATAATATTTATATTATATTTATAATAATTATAATATTTATAACAATAATATTTATAATAATAATAATTTTTATAATAATAATATTTTTTAATAATAATAATAATATTTATAATTTTATAATAATTATATTTATAATAATAATATATTTATAATAATAATATTTATAATAATAATATTTATAATAATAATAATATTTAAAATTTAATATTTTTTAATAATAATAATTATAAAAATTTAATTATAATAATATTTATAATAATTTATAATAATAATATTTAAAATAATAATATTTATAATAATAATTTTTATAATAATAATATTTATAATAATATTTATAATTATAATAATATTTATTAAAATATTTATAATAATATTTATAATAATAATATTTATAATATATTTATAATAATAATATTTATAATAATATTTATAATAATATTTTTAATAATATATAATAATAATATTTATAATAAAATATTTATAATAATAATATTTTAATAATAATATTTATAATAATATTTATAATAAAAAATATTTATAATAATATTTATAAAAATTTAATATTTATAATAATATTTATAATAATATTTATAATAATAATATTTATAATAATAATGATGTTTAGTAGGTTGGTAGACAGCAACTTTCCAGGGAGGTATTTACCGCCCTGCCAAGTGAGTGTAAAACGTAAGCCTGTAATTGTTTACATGATGGTAGGATTGCTGGTGTCTTTCGTCTGTCTCATAATATGCAAGATTTCAGGTACGTCTTGCTACTTCTACTTCCCACTTAGGTCACACTACACATACATGTTACCGTTTATTATACACACTCATCTGAGTTTTTCTTTGATTTTATTTTAATAGTTCTTGGTCTTATTCCTTTTCCTTTTATATCCATGGTGAAGTGGAATAAGATCTTTCCTCCGTAACCCATGCGTGTTGTAAAAGTCAACTAAAATTGCCGGGAACAATGGGCTAGAAACCCCCTTTTCCTGTAAAGATTACAAAAAAGAATAAGAAGAAAATTGTAAAAGTGGGAAAGACTGAATGTGCGTGGATGTTGTGCAGATGATAAGAAAGAGATGTTTGTGGATGTTATGAATGAGAAGAAGCTGGATGTCCTGGCTTTAAGTGAAACAAGCTAAAGGGGGTGGGAAGAGTTTCAGTGAAGAGAATAAATAGGTTAGGTCAAGGGTTTCAAACAGAGTTAGAGCTAAAGAAGGAGTGAGCAATAATGTTGAAGGATAAGATATGGCAGGAAAAGAGGGACTACAAAGTATTTATTCAAGGATTATGTGGAGTAAAATAAAGGTTGGATGTGAAAAGTGGGTTATAGTAAGCGTTTATATGCACCTGGAGGAGAGGGAAGTGTAGAGGAGAGAGATTTTGGGAAAAAGTTGAGTGAATGCATGGGGGTTTTTGAACCCAAATGTGAGAGTAATGGTGGTCGTGGATTTCAATGCTAAAGTGGGCAAAAATGTTGTGGAGGGGTAGTAGGTAAATTTGGGGTGCCAGGGTAAATGAAAATGGGGGAGCCTTTAATTGAGCTATGTGTAAAAAAGAGGTTTGGTAATATTTAATACATATTTTATGAAAAGGATAAATAAATATACAAGGTTGTCATTTTGAAAGAAGTTTGTTTTTTTTGGGGGGAAAAAAATTTGGGGTGGGCCCGGGAAACATGAAAAAAAATGATTTTTTTTTTTTTTACCCGTTAGGTAAATGAGGGAAAAAAGGAAAATCCGGGCCGGGGGGGGGAAAAATAAAAAAGGAGTTTTCATAGAAAAAACAACGGGGAAAGGGTTGGGGTGCAAAATGGTTGGGGGGGGGGGGGGGGTTTTAAATACGTTTTAAAAACAATTTAAAAATTGGGGCAGGATTTTTTTTTTAAAAAGGGTGCGGGAAAAGGGGGGGGTTTTTGGTATGAAAAAAATTTAAAAAGAAAATTAAAAGGGGGGGTTTTTAAAAAAAAATTTTAAAGGGGGAAAAGGTATTAGGAAAAAAAGGTGGGGTTAGGGAAAAAAAAGGGTTTTTTTGGGGGGGGAAATGCAAGAAATTTTAAAAAATTTTAAAGAAAAAAAAATTTGGGGTTTTAAATTAAGAAAATAGAAAAAGGATTTTAAAAAAAAAAAAATTTTTATGGGGGAAGGGGGTTTTGGGTAAGGGCGAAAATTTTTTTGGGAAAATGTCGCAAAGAAAGGGAAGGGAAATTTTCATGATCCGGGAAAAATTTTTTGGATAAAGGAAGACAATATTGGGAATAATTTTTTAAAAAAAAAGGGGGGTAAAGAGTAAAGAGGGCCAACATTTAGAAAAGCAGGGGGGGTTTGTTTGGGGGTTTTTTTTTTTAATGAATGTTAAAGGGGGAAAGGGTACCTAGGGATTGGCAGATAGCTTTAAGCCCTTTATAAAAGGAAGGGAGAAAAAAGAGATTGAAAAATTTATGAGGAATAAGCTTCCCGAGTATACCAGGTAGTGTACGGTAGGGTTAAATTAAAAAATTAGAGGTAAGAAGAATTAGGATTGCAGATGACAAAGGGGGTTTTTTTGGGGGAGAGGATTGTAGATCAATGTTTACATTAAGGCAATATGTAAAAGTATTTAGATAAAGGTTAGAGAATTTTTTTTGCATTTTTTTTGGGGTTTAGAAAAAGGGAAATAAGAGTGGGTAGGGGAGCTATGTGGCAATTTTGCAATATATGGAATAGGTGGTAAGTTACTAAATGCTGTGAGTTTTTTTTGAGGGAAATGAGGCTCGGTTAGGGTGTGTAGAAAGGGACAATTCCCATAAAAGAGGTCTTAGACAGGGGTTTAATGTCACCATGGTTGTTTAATATATTTATAGATGGAATTGTAAAAAATAAATGCAGGGGGTTTTGGGGGAGGGGGGGGGGGATTAAATTATGGGGGAAACAACTACAAAAAGGGAATTTCACGCTTCTTTTTGCTGATGCTGTGCTCATGGGAGATTCTAAAAAAAATTGCAAAGTTAGTGGATGAGTTTGGGATGTGGTAAAGGTAGAAAGTTAAAGTGAACATAAAAAGAGTAAAGGGGGAAAGGGGACAAATGATTTTAAATTTTGAAAAATTTTTATACAAAAATTTGGGGAGGAGGATATAGAAGAAGTGAATTTTTTTGATACTTGAGAGTTGACATGTTGGCGGGTGAATTTATGAAGGATGAGGTTAATCACAGAATTGATGAGGGAAAAAAGGTGAGTGGTGCATTGAGGTATATGTGGAGACAAAAAAATGCTATCTATGGAGGCAAAGAAAGGAATGTATGAAAGTATAGTAGTACCAACACTCTTATATGGTGTGGAAGCTTGGGTTGTGAATGCAGCAGCGAGGAGGCGGTTGGAGGCAGTGGAGATGTCCTGTCTAAGGTCAATGTGTGGTGTAAATATTATGCAGAAAATTCGGAGTGTGGAAATTAGGAGAAGGTGTGGAATTAATAAAAGTATTAGTCAGAGGGCTGCAGAGGGGTGTTGAGGTGGTTTGGTCATTTAGAGAGAATGGATCAAAGCTGAATGACATGGAGAGCGTATAAATCTGTAGGGGAAGGAAGGCGGGATAGGGGTCATCCTCGAAAAGGTTGGAGGGAGGGGGTAAAGGAGGTTTTGTGGGCGAGGGGCTTGGACTTCCAGCAAGCGTGCATGAGTGTGTTAGATAGGAGTGAATGGAGACGAATGGTATTTGGGACCTGACGATCTGTTGGAGTGTGAGCAGGGTAATATTTAGTGAAGGATTCAGGGAAAACGGTTATTTTTATATAACTGGACTTGAGTCCTGGAAATGGGAAGTACAATGCCTGCACTCTAAAGGAGGGGTTCGGGATATTAGCAGTTTGGAGGGATATGTTTGCGTATCTTTATAGGTATATGCTTCTAAGCTGTTGTGTTCTGAGCACCTCTGCAAAAACTGTGATTATGTGTGAGTGAGGTGAAAGTGTTGAATGATGATGAAAGTATTTTCTTTTTGGGGATTTTCTTTCTTTTTTGGGTCACTCTGCCTCAGTGGGAGACGGCCAACTTGTTTAAAAAAAAAAAAAAAAAAATTGTAGAGAAGAAGAAGGGGGTACTAGCCCCTTGCTCCCAGCACATTAGTTGACTCTTACGACACACATGGCTTACAGAGGAAGAACTGTTCCACTTCCCCATGGCGATAAGATAAAATAAGAACAAGAACTAGTAAGAATATAGAAGAAAACCAAGAGGGGTGTGTATATACAGTGGACCCCCGGTTAACGAATTTTTGCATTCCAGTGTAGTTCAGGTGCCATTATGACCGATTTTTAAAGTATTGTGAAGTAGATTAGTCCATTCAGACCCCAAACATAACGTACAACGCACTTACATAAATACACTACATAATTGGTCGCATTTGGAGAGTGACGTTAGCGGGGGTCCACTGTATTTTGTACAGCAAGGTATGTAACCTTAGGTAGAGGATAATAATGAGTAAGTACAGTGCCTGATTTGAAGGAGGGCTGGAGATATGATGCATTTTAATGTATATCAGATACTCTGCAAGCAGTGATGGAGTGAGTGAATGTTTCTCTTTATGGAGTCCCCCTGCCTCAGTAGGAAATGCCTGATATGTTAGTAACAATAAAAAAAAAAAAAACTAAAACTAAATCATTAGTGCTAAGACTCACCTAAAGTATGAAATATTGGTCTTGGTAGTGACCTTGTATGCCATGTAAGAGCTCATTCCTTCACCAATTTTTTGAGGATCAGATACTGTGATTTGTATCATATCATCACCACTCTCACTTTCCAACTGAAATGAAAAGAACACTAAAGTTACCATTTGATAATTATATCATTCCAGCAGAGATTACAAGAAAACAATGATCCGAGGGAGGCTGTGGAGTTTTATATCTTCGTAGATTGCTGAAAAGTTCATCAGAATGATGCGATTAGTTCCCACAGATTCCACTAGAAATGTAAATATTAAAGCACACAGTGCATTCTATATATATATACAAGACACTTGGAATGACTTTCAACCCAGTGCTCCGACTCTTCATTGAGCTGCAGCAGAATACAGACCATACACAAAACAGTATATTCTGGCATGTAAGGTGCACAACTGTAAATCAGTAATCACATTCAAGGGTTAATGACCCTCTTATTTTATGTTAAAGTGTAACACAAAGCCTACCCTTGACCCTGACCTTAAGTATATAAAGCGCAGGATGATTTCAAGATTTTTTTGGGGGG